CACAATCAACTTAGGCTTGAATAAGGACTGGGAATGGCTGAGCCATTACAAATATTGAATCTATCTCCCCTTGTAAGTATTCTCACACTTCTTATCAAACTGTCTGTACTGGGCTAGCTTGATTATCACTTCCAAAGTTTTTTCTCTTACTTAATTGGCCTCTCAGAGTTGGTAAGACAACTCCCACCTGTTCATTGCTCTCTGTATGTGTGTATATATATCTCCTCAATATTTATTCCACTCTATATGCATCTGAAGAAGTGGGCTGTAGTCCACGAAAGCTTATGCTCTAATAAATTTGTTAGTCTCTAAGGTGCCACAAGTACTCCTGTTCTTTTTATGCCTGTGAGTATTCCCATTGACTTCAGGGAGACTACTCATGTGCTTAGAAGTTGAGTGCATACATGGTGGCAGAATCAGGTCCTCATTCCCCATCCATCCAGATCCTAAGCCAAGTACCTTGCATTTCTGCTACGCTTGTATCCTTGGCCCCTGAAAGAAAGCTGTGTCCTTCTCAGGAACGCTTACAAAGCTAGTGAAACAATGACAATGTTGGCAGAAATTTGCTTTGTTTTGTTTCAATTAATCTGTCGCTTTTAGTGATCCTGTTAGGTGAGAGAACGAAAGTGACCAATATTGTCTTGTTTCCTTGCGCTCCCCCATCTGTCTGCCTGTCAGCTCTTAGGGGCAGGACTGTCTTTTCATTCTGCGTTTGTACAGCGTCTAGCACGCTGGGCCCAGGTCCATGAGTGTGGCATCTATGTGCTACCACACTACAATCATAATAATACAAATGGAACTTCACTGCAGGCTAATATATAATTTACGGTAAATTACAATAATAATTTATTATATCTCCAGTAATCCTGGTATGGCAAATATTTCTGCATTGCCTTGGATCTGTACTAAAGGTGGCCTGCACAAACTGGGTTTGTGGCTCTTTATGATGAAGATGGGCAGCTTGAAAGTTTTAAAAATAAAAAAGGGGGGAAATCCTGCTTCCTCTTAACATTGGAAATGAAAGTTTTGTCATCTTGTTTTCCTAGAAGACTGTACAGATGTCTGGGGGACCAAGCTATGATATCAGAAATCACGCAGAAGTGAAATCTGATTAATTAGGGGGAAGTGATTTTTATTCAGATGTTTTAAAACTTGTATTTTGTTGTTGCTAAAACCTATTTAAGGAATCTCTTGAGAAATAACTGGGGAAAAGGTGCCTTAAAGCTCCCACCACGCATCACCATGAGTCTTCTAGCAAAACCAGGGAAGACCAGATGTAGCATTCCTGATCTTTCCAGGGTGAAAAACCACACTTAAAACAACTGTTTGGCTGTCTTTGGACACCATCAATAAAAAATGGCATAAAACCATTTTTTTCATCCATTAACCCTCACACTGAAATGATCCTCATTCGAGTTATAACACTAATGCTTATATTTGGTCAACAAAAGGACACCCGTGAAATTAAATACAGAACATGGCCCTGATCCCATGAGGTCTGTGGGAGTTTTGTATTTGACACCTCCCAAGATCAAGCCCCAACATCTATTTTTTTCCATTTTAATATATTTTCTCCCATTTATTTTCCATCCAGCTGCTGATAGTCATCACCACGTCCTGATTTAACGGCAAGCCCCGCAATGGAGACCCATTCCACTTCTTCACTAGGCAACAGACATCCCAGATCACCAACCCTTCTGTACGACACATCCCCTTTTTTGCAAGTCAACTAACTTACCTGGTCGGTACGTTTTCCCACTCAACAGGATGTCAAGTTTTTCATACACTTTGGCTGCAATTTCATGTAGCTTATCCACAGCTGGGAATGTAGAACAGAAGTCAAGGAACGCCTTGAGGTCACTAGAAATATTGAACACTTAGGCACGATCAGGGAAATTTCTGTTCAAAGTGACCGTGGTGCAGGCTACAGAATCTAGGAACATTGTTTAAAAGCTCTTCATCTGAAACCCATTTAAATGCTGCGTTTGGGGCTTATGTGATTTGAACAGCCTTGTGTGAGTTCTCTGTACTGGAATCAGTTTCACTTCAAAACTACAGCAAGTTGGTTTTCAGACAAATCTTTCACTTTTCCAGCACTGTCAATCCCAAGTGTTCAAAAAATCTGGAGTGAGGCACCTAAAAATCATGAGATTTTTAAAAAAATAATACATTTGCAGGTTTTTTTATTTGCCTTATTTTGTGAGCCTTTAGAGTACCTCCGGAACATATTTATACAACCACGAGGGGTAGGAACATACTTTAAAAAAAACACCAAAAGTGAAAGCTGAGATTCTCCCATATTCCTATGACTCCAGGAGCTGACGCTTTGAGCAAGAACAGCAAATATCGTGGCAGCTGGTAATACTGTTTTGATGAACATGGCATTGGCTGAATTAAAGATATCTAAGCCAGTCAGAATGCAAATGAAATGACGAACACAGAGATCATTACAGAAATGGTGATCAGGAATATTTTCATAGAATTACCACCTCTGGCTTAGAAAATGTGGGTTTACTTTGCCATGCATTTTTAACATGGCTCATTTTCACCTGGGAGATTATTTAGCAGCAGGAGGCCTTTATCTGGCTGTGGCATCACCGTATTTTATCAATATCATCTCTTATTTTAATGAAGATTCCAAAAAATAACCAACCTTTTCTGATTCCAAAGAAATGAAAATGACATTGGAGCGGTCCCTGGGAAGTAACGTTAAAAACTCAATTTAAAATAGAAATGCTCTGAATGCTACAATTCGTCAAGCTCAGAACCGTTTAACAGATTCCAAACTTTTAGTATACGAGTTTCTCTTTGCAGAGCCAGGTAAAACTTCCACATTCCTGTTGGATCTGTGCTAATGAAGGGCAGGCACAATCAAAGGCTAAGGGGCAAGGTAAAACAGAAACTATCTTTTTCTCTCAAGAGATGTTCATCTGCCCCTTGAATTAACTTCCAAGGTACCAGTAGTTGCATCCGAAGAAGTGGGCTGTAATCCACGAAAGCTTATGCTCTAATAAATTTGTTAGTCTCTAAGGTGCCACAAGTCCTCCTGTTCTTCTTTTTGCGGATACAGACTAACACGGCTGCTACTCTGAAACCTGACACGCATGATGGCAAATGAACTGAATGGGGCCTGGGGAGGAAGGGAAATGAGATTAAAATGACATAAACATGCATCAAAAAGTAGAAGTGCAAGCCATAGGCCGATTGTCTTGTTCATTCTGTGCAGCGGAAGATTACAGCCCCAAGAGTTCTGGGCTCAGATCCTCAAAGGCAGTAGTTATCAACTAGGGGTACGCACACCCCTGGGGGTACACAGAGGTCTTCCAGGGGGTACATCAACTCATCTAGTTATTTGCCTAGTTTTACAACAGGCTACTAGCATTAGCCAAACCAGCACAAACTACAATTTCATGCAGACAATGACTTGTTTATATTGCTCTATGGACTATACATTGGATGTAAGTACAATAGTTATATTCCAATTGATTTATTTTATAATTATATGGCAAAAATGAGAACATAATCGATTACTCAATAATAGCGTCCTGTGACGCTTTTGTATTTTTATGTCTGATTTTGTAAGCAAGTAGTGTTTAAGTGAGGTGAAACTTGGAGTACGCAAGACAAATGAGACTCCTGAAAGGGGTACAGTAGTCTGGAAAGGCTGAGAGCCACTGTTCAAAGGTATGTAGACTTCTAACTTCCATTACATCAATAGAAGCTAGGAACCTAAATACCTCTGAGGATCTGAGCCACGGAGCTTACATTTCTCAGTGCATAGATAGATTGGGACTGTACCCTGCGTTTTCCTTATCATAGCTTCATGTGATGGCTACTCATAGATTATCTCCAAATAGCATAAATTCCTGCTAGATCTCACTAGTTTGGAGTACACTTTAAGGTCAGGATTTGTAAGTATTCCAATCATGTAAGAAGGGGTTTTGTCCCGTTTCAATGAGACATTTAAAATCCCACTTGGTTTGTTTAAACATCTCCTTCATTTAAAGTCCCAGCAGCAGAACTTCGGAAGTTCACATCCCATGTAAAATGTTGACATGGTTTTGCACAACCTCAATTGTCAGTTCAGTTTTGGGGTTTGGTTTTTTATTTCTTCCTAAGGGACAGATACTGATCTTTTCCCATCCAGGATCTTTCAAAAGGGACAAGTTCTTTTTTAGAAAGTGTGGCCTATTGAGTAGATTGTGGTGCCAACTAACGGCCCACAGGCCATTCACGGCCCACAGGCCATTCACGGCCCACCAGAGCATTTCATAAGGCCCGCAACCTGCTTCAACACAATACGCTACCGGCTAATTCATGAGTGTTTTGTCATCATTTAGTTTATACAAATGTGCAAATAGACAATACTGTACATAGAAACAATCTATCTAAATACATACGAAACAAGCTGAACTTAACCTGTAAGTCAATACAGATGACTTTAAATCTTATTAATACACCACTACCCCGATATAACGCTGTCCTCGAGAGCCAAAAAAATCTTACTGCGTTGTAGGTGAAACCACGTTATATCGAACTTGCTTTGATCCGCTGGAGTGCGCAGCCCCGCCCCCCGGAGCGCTGCTTTACCGCGTTCTATCCAAATGTGTGTTATATCGGGTCGCGTTATATCGGGGTAGAGGTGTATATGTAGAATCTGTTTGACCCACCCAAGGCTGTGCTTAGGTTCATGTGGCCCTCCTGTGTAATAAGGCTGGGGATCACTGGGGTACACCATTGGACTGGGACTTAAGAGACCTGGATTCAATTCCTAGCTCACCCCCTAGCCTTTGTAGCAGCTGTATCACACTGTTTACTCTTGTTCAATTTGTGATCCATGATAACCCCCAGATCTTTTTCAGCAGTATTAGGGTTACCATATTTCCTCATTAAAAAAAGAGGACACTCCACGGGCCCTGGCCCCGCCCCAACTCCGCCCCTTCCCCACCCCTTCCCCAAAGTCCCCGCCCCAACTCCGCCCCCTCTCCTGAGCGCCCCGCATTCCCCTTCCTCCCTCCCAGCCGCGAAACAGCTGCCCGAACACTACCGGCTTCACGGTTTGCCGGGCAGCCCCCAGACCTCCAGACCCTGCGCCCCGGCTGGGCGCTTCCCCTCCCAGGTTTCGGCTGCTCTGGGGAAGCGCCCAGCCGGGGGCGCAGGGTCTGGAGGCTGTCCGGCAAACCGTGAAGCCGGTAGCGCTTGGGCAGCTCGGCTCTTCAGCTACACAGAGCTGAGGTGTCTGGGGGGAGCAGCAGCAGCAGCCGCCGCCGTGGGGGAATCCGCCTGCAGCTCGCAGCCTGCGGGAGCCGCTCTAAGGTAAGCAGGGGACTGGGGCAGGGATGTCGGCAAAGCTATTTTCCCGGACATGTTCGGCTTTTTGGCAATTCCCCCTGGACGGGGATTTGAGGACCAAAAAGCCGGACATGTCCGGGAAAAAACGGTAACCCTAATTGCCCCTCAGGACTCCACCCCCTACCTAAGCCTCCCTGCTCCTTGTCCCCTGACTGCCCCCTCCTGAGACCTTCCCTCCATCCTAACTGGCCCTCTAGGACCCTACCCCCTACCTGTCCCCTGACTGCCCCAACCCTTTCCACTCCCCCCACCCCCAGACAGACACCAGGGACTCCCACGCCCCATCCAACCACTCCCCACCCCC